TAAAAGAATAACCCATATCCATATCAAGAACCAGATAGTAAAGTAGTGGGTTACAAAATAAACATACAAAGATTAGTGTCCTTTCTACATGCAATCAATAAGAAGAAAGTGGAATCAAGAATAACAACCCAGGCTTCTTGGTGGTGCAATGGGTTAAGTCTCAGCATTATCAAGATATCAGCAGCCATAGCAACATTAAGTTTGATCCTCAGCCAGGAAACTGATCACAAAACTGAAGTAGACCTCTCCTGACTCATCCACTGCTCCACTTGGTAGTATATTTCAATCTGCCTATTCTGCTCTGTCTCTGGTGCATCCTCTCACCAACCCCAACCCCCTGCCACACATTTATACCGAGACTGATTCTAAAGCAATGAAATGTAACAATACAGTGGGTCATCATCACTATGAAAATGTCCTGTGCATCTTTTCTTCACCTACAATGCACATTTGCTTTGTTTAACCTGCAGCTATTTCCACATCTCCTTCCTAGCAGGACACCAGAAAAGATGGAGAAGAGTGAACAAGGAAAGTGGTAGAATATGACGTAGTGTAGAAAAAGTGGTTTATAGAGGGGAGCAGGATAGTTCATTCTAAGTATAATGGTTTTCAAGTAGAGATTGATATGATCAGTTTTCATATTTTTTATTGGATTTTGTGTGAAAAATAAAGTGGAGGTAAAGTTTTTTGGCAGCCCAGTTAAAGAAAAAGCAGTGCCCAAATAAAAAATAATAATAGTTTGGATTAGGATGACAGATCAAGATGAAATCATGTGAAAAATTTCCCTTAAGCAGTAGAATCAAGTTTAATGGTGTTAAATATTAACAAAAATATCCTATCTCAAGTAAGTATATAATACCAAATATAAGTTACTAGAACTGTAAGGAATAAGGGAATCCCTTTTAAGTCTGAAAACCTATGAGTCACCTAAGAGTGAATGCTGTATGTTCCACTTGATCATTCCCCACTGAGCATCTATCACTGATAAAATTTCAGACTCAAGGATACTAGCAATCAAAACCTGTATCTTTCTTCTAAATCTGCTCCATTTTCTGATTAATACTACTAATTGTGAAGGATGTTAAAGATATTACATGTGATACAAAATACGAATAGAAAGTCTTACTGATAAGATTTATGACTTACAGATTCATTCATAACAATGGAGCTATTCTTCCCACAAAAGTTAACCTTAAGAAAAGAATTAACTCATAATTCCATAAACATTTGAAAATGAATATAAAAGCATCGAGAAATGTTTAGGTACAGACTGCTTTGCTAAGAATATTACAAGAGTTAAACAAGTTTTGGAATAATTTTTAAAAAATAGTTTCAAAAGTTAAATGTCAATTTTTTTTTTAATTTTATTTATGCATACAGAACTGGGGTACAGGCCAGAGGTGCGGAGGCAGTGAGATGATTCACCAGAGACAAAGCATGAATCAGAGCAGGCAGATCATTGAAGTACACTGCTGAAGGGAGCAGTGGGTGAGACAGGAGAGGTCTGCTGCGCTATATGGGGTCACCTCCCGGGTGGGGTTGAACTTGCACTGAAGCAGCTGCGGCTGGCTTATGGCACTGCACCCTAAACCCATTGAGCCATCAGGGAGGGCCCTAAATGTTAAATCTTAATTGGCCTGTTTTTCTGAAGTTATAAAGCAATCATTTTCCAGCTGACAAAAGGCACAAGCTTCATTAATGACCTATTATAACACAACACTGCCACCTGGTGGAAGATATCACAGTAAAACATTTTGATTTATAATAAAGTTTGTTCAGTTTGTGAGTTTCTATAAAAGAAATGAAAAGGGGCCGTCCCTGGTGGCGCAAGGGGTTAGGACGCAGACCGCAAACTAGCCACTACGCTTTAGCCTGAGTTCGATCACAGCTTCAGAGGAGACCCACATGGTGCGGGCGACCTCTCCAGACTTCCCCACTGCTCCCCTCAGCAGTGTACTTTGTTGATCTGCCTGTTTTGCTCCTCACTCTGTCTGTGGTGAAACCTCTCACCACCCCTGCAACTCTGGCTTGTACCCCAGTTCTGTATGCATAAATAAATAAATAAATCTTTTAAAAAAAGAAATGAAAAGGGACTATATTGATGTGAACCTTTCTAGCCTACTACACCTAGATAAAACCAGTAGTAAAGAGAAATGACAGGAACCATGTTCACTCTATAAAAAGTATAAAATGACAATCACATTTTAGTTTTAGGAAAAGATGCATCCATGAAAGGATAGCATGACGTAATTTTTTGACATATGGTATATATCCTGATTATAGTGGTGGTCACAAAAGTATACACACACAAAAGTATACAGCGCGTGCGCGCGCTGTTAAAATTCAAGAAATGTAAACCAAAAGGCAATAGTCATTTTACCATACTTTTTATAAAAACAGATATAAAGTACGATAAAAATAGACATGTATATAAAAGGCGGCAAAATCATTAAAAAATGTGGGTTTACATACACCTTTTTACCCAAAGGTGATAGGTACAAATAAGATTTTTTTTTTAAAGATTTATTTATTCATACAGAACTGGGGTACAGGCCAGAGATTTGGAGGGTGAGAGGATTCACCAGAGACAGAGTGGGGAGCAGAACAGGCAGATCGACGAAGTACACTGCTGAGGGGAGCAGCGGGCGGGTCAGGAGAGGTCTGCCGCACCATGTGGTCACCTCCGTGGCAAGCAGGGATGGAACTCATGCTGAAGTGGCTTAAGCTTCTTAGAGCTGTGCTTTAACCCGCTGCGCTACCAGGGAGAGCCCAAGATGAGGTTCTAATCTGACACAAATATGTTGAAATATTTAAATAAGGCCCTGAAAGTGCTTCTAAAGGGGACCAATTTACACTAAAAATTTACCCTAGCATTGGGCAGATGAAAATTAACAAGCTACTAACCAAAAATTTAGGAATCACTGCTTAGCTTTGACTTTAGTAACCCCAAAAGGTGAGTTTTTTTTAAAAAATATTTATTTATTTATGCATACAGAACTGGGGTACAGGCCAGAGTTGCAGGGGCAGTGAGAGGATTCACCAGAAACAGAGTGGGGAGCAAAACAGGCAGATCTACCAAGTACACTGCTGAGGGGAGCAGCGGGCGGGTCAGGAGAGGTCTGCTACGCCACGTGGTCACCTCCGGGGCAGGCAGGGATCAAACTCATGAGGAAGTGGCTTTCGATTCTTTCCTTAGTGCTGCGTTTTAACCCGCTGCACCACCAGGGAGGGCCCAAAAGGTGACTTTTTAAGGCATTTGTATAAAATTGTATTTTGTTTTCCTCTAAAATCTAAGGGAATAAACAGGTGAAACTGGGGGCTTAATCTTAATGTCATCTTGGTATTTTCTAGATTCTGGAGAAGTCACATTTAAGTTATGTTAAAATTCCAGAAATCTGGAATACCCAAATTCACTGCATTTGTCAATGCCAAAATGCCACAGGTGCCAAGAGCTCACAAGAAGAGAGAACCCAGGTGACAAATGAAACCAAAATGAGAGCAAAAATCACATTTACACCATTGTTCTTCCATCTCTCCCATTTATATATCTGATATTCACTATGCCACATGGACTATAACAGCAATGAAGGACTATCAAACAGGGGGTTTATGAGATGTTTCAGAGGGAATCGGGCTGATGAAAGTAAACAAGCTACTAACCCAAAACTAGGAATTAGTATTCAACTTTGACTCTAGTAAATGCAAAAGACGTCTTTTTAAAGACATTTTTATGAGCTTGTATTTTGTCTTTCTCTAAAAGCTAAGGAATAAAATGGTCAAAAGGGGGCTTAGTCTTTCTGTCACCTTAGTATTATTATTGTGATGTAGGGAAAAATCAAGAGATTGCCAACAGATACAAGGCTTGGGGGGGGGGGCGAGGTAATGAAATATTTTAAATTGATTGTGGTGATGAATGAACAATGTTGTAAATGTCAGGCTGACCTGTTAATTAGCTTAAGTTATGTTGAAACAAAGCTTCAATATAGACTGAAAGTTCCAGGGAGTAACTAATAAATGTTTTCAAGGTCTCAAGCCTGATTTATGTACCCCAGATAACTGCTTAGGAATTTCCTGCTTCCCTACTGCCTACTTGCTTCTAAGTGCAAATGTACCTCTGCTGAGGCTATAAGTACTGTAACCTAATTGCTCAGGGCTCAGACTTGGGAGAAAGATGCTCTATGAGTGCTTTCTCATAAAGACTTTCCCTCTCTGAGTGCTGTCTGCTTCCTTACTGGAATTCTGCCATCACACTGGGACTATACTATCAATGCACCTGGGTAAGTTATATGGCATGTAAAACAGGATTGTATATTCTACCTTTTCCCCACTATTTCCTCAGCTCCTGAAACAGTGACTGGCAATATTAGGAATCCAACGAATTCTTATTGAGTGGAAAAATAAATTTCTGTACATGAGTAAACCATTATAAAACTCTATCATACCCAAAGCGATTAAAATAGGGCAGGTTGGCATGGCAGAAGCATAGTGTGTAAGTATAGGTGCCTTTTCCAGTAAAGAAGATGAAATATAAAAATTCAGCGGATATCAAGAGGGGTCTTGAAAACACTAAGTAGGGCCCTCCCTCGTGGTGCAGCAGGTTGAAGCTCAGCAATAAGAATCGAAAGCCACTTCCACATGAGTTCGATCCCCACCTGCCCCTTGAGATGATCCACAAGGCGTGTAGACCTCTCCTGACCCCACACTGCAACCCTCAGCAGTGTACTTCATTGATCAGCCTGTTCTGCTCCCCCATTCCATCTCTGGTGAATCCTCTCACAGCCCCTGCACCTCTGGCCTGTACCCCAGTTCTGTATGCACAAATAAATAAATATTAAAAAAAAAGAAAACACTAAGTAATTTACACTATTCTGAACCGATGGGAAGAGGAGTAAAATTTTGAATAAATAAGTAGCAATCAGGATATGTTGTTGAGAGAGCAATCAAGTGCAAAATGCTGAGAGTTACTAATACTACTCAAAGATGAAAAAGTGAAATAGTACCTTAGAAACGGATCAATACCCCTCAGGTGAGAAGCGTTAGGGGAAAACATGAGAAATTACTAAAATACAAAAACATGGATTTTGGAAATTATGGCACATCACACACATATACACCGTCTCTCGCACTGAATATCATCTCTAGTCAGCTTCTGTATGTAGTTCATTCAACTGGATGAGGACAAAGCTTAGTATGACCCCTGAGCTATTAAAAATTATTTCCAATTAACTAAACGGGCCCGCCTCAAGTATTTAACTTAGTAATACCAACAAGGCGCCCGACTCCACCGCTCTGAAAAGACCCCGGCTCTTCATAAATGTGCTTCTGAAAAGGTACTGTAAGGACAGCGGGACATAGCCCCGGTGTGCGCACCGGCCCGGTAACTGCAGGGGCACTGAAGTCTCTCAGCACTGGGGGACGGCTTTAGACGCCACAAAAGCCCTGCGCACAGGGCGCAGCGACCCAGACCCCGCGAGAGTCCGGGCCTCGGAGGGAAGCCTTTGAGGCAGCCCACCCCCGTACGCGAAGGCGACCACCCCTTCGGAGGGAGTAAAGTATCTAGGAGTAGAAAACAACGGGCTTTCTCTCCCAAAGCCACCTCACCTGCCTAGATGAAGCCAAGAGCTGCGCAGAGGAGGAGGTTCCTTCCGGCGGAGGAGGCGGGTGCAGCCCGGAAGCCACGTCCCAGAGGAGCAGCAGAGACTTCCGGCGACGCCACCTTTGAGGCTAGAGCGTTGCGAAGCGATTGCGCGGGCCCAAGGAGAGCGAGTCGGAGGAGGAGGTTGGAGGTTGGTTGGGTCTCCGATGAGATACACAGTTCGGGGCGCTCAGACTTTGGCGGGAGGAAGGTTTACGCCTCCATTCCGGGTGTTTAGTTTTCTTCATTTCAGTAGCACCTGAAATCCATTCCGCCCAGCAGCTATGCGTAGGAGATGGACACTGCTGGCGCTCCTCCAGTCCCTCTGGCTCACTCCAAAGAAAGGAAGCCAAGGGGCGCGCTGCTGAGTTTGGTTGATGGTAGAATTGACCTGAGGGGTACCAGGTCATTGCCTTGTCTCATGACAAAAATAGTGCCTGCTCAGTAAACGTTAGCTGTGGTTTTCATTTTTTTCGTTCTGTAGTCATTACCTCAGAGGAAATAAATATTAAAAAGCGTCCACTGAGTAGTCATAGATCCAGCATTGACTATTGACTTAAATTTACAAAACAGATTAAGATTGCAGTTCTTTATGCCAAGCTTGATATTTCACAGACTAGATCAACTAATAAATAAAAAGGGCGTGAAGCTTTTACTTGTTTGAAAATTCCAAATTTACATTTCTATAATTTACATAAATCTGCTAAATTTTTATCTAAGTTTTAATATAGGTTTATAAGTAAAGTGAGTAATTGGGTATGTATCTAATATGTATTCCCTTATTCCTCCTTTGTAACAAAACTCATAATTAGTCATCCTTTCCCCAGCACCAGAAATGATAATAATAAAATCTAAACCTGTCACAATACGGAATTCTTTTAGGAATGGTTATTGGTCAAGGGATGAACAAATGACTCAATTTGATTTAAGCAGACTAAAGAGAAGGAACATTTCATGCTTAGGAGAAAGTTCTACCACATTCTCTTCTTCAGGTGGAAACATCTAACCCAGACTGCCACCAGCAGTCATTTTTCAGGTGCAAGGAAGTAAAGCTAACCTGAGGACAGCTGAATCATTCTAAACATAGAGTTCACCTTCTTTCTGAACTTTTTGTATGTCTAATGTGCCTCCCTACAGTTTTCTGATAGAAATAATATAAAGATTAAATGAGTTTTTTAAAAAAGCGTTAATGGGGCCCTCCCTGGTGGCACAGCGGGTTAAAACACAGCACTAAGAAGCTAAAGCCACTTCCACATGAGTTCAATCCCAGCCTGCCCCGGAGGTGACCACATGGCGCGGCAGACCTCTCCTGACCCACCCACTGCTCCCCTCAGTAGTGTACTTCGTTGATCTGCCTGTTCTGCTCCCCACTCTGTCTATGGTGAATCCTCTCACCCTTCGCATCTCTGTCCTGTACCCCAGTTCCATATGAATAAATAAATAAATCTTTTTTAAAAAAGTGTTAATTACATTGCAAGTGCTCAATAAATACTTATTAAAACAGCATAAGATGGATTCTATTTCTTATAGCCAAAATTAATTTTCTATCCCTAAGGTTATCTGTAACAGTTGAAAAATCTATACTTCTCATACCAGCTTGTCATTGGAGGATACCTGCTTATTTAAGGTGAATGGCCAAAAAGCCAGCTGTCTAGGCAGTGTCACCAGACCGAGGGCAGAATCAAAATCACAGCAGCAGTGGAGTACACAGTAGCAGCTGTCACCTCTGCTGCCAGACCAGGGAACAGACAGTACAGGGTGCAGATTTGGGGACACAGGTTTCTAAACTGTTACACAAATGTGAAGAATACCTCCCCATTCCCAAAACTGGGAATTTGAGGACTTCAGTCCCACAAATTTTACTGCCTAGTTCAGTAGATTCTGATCCTTTAGTAAGTAGTAGAAAAACAAGAGGTTCTGCTTCTGAAACAATACAAACACAGACCCTTAAAACAGGTTTTAAACAGTGCCAAGCAATATTGCCAAGGTGAGGGAACAGGTCACATCAGTGGAATTCTTACCCAGGTGCACAATTGCCAGACACTCAGGCTGAGGTTCCAAAGACATTTTTTTTAAAAAAAAAAAACAAAGTGAAGATTGGGGAAAAGGAAAGTTTCTAAGGTCAGAAGTGGCCAGATGACTCACCCCAAATAGTACCCATAGTGTATGGAAGTCCCAAACAAAGGTCACTGTGGAAGATGAGGTAACACTGCAATACCTCACAGCAGCAATCTGAAGGTTGTGCTGGATTCCAAACCAGGCAGTTACTGAGTCAACAGCAAGAGTAAATGTTTACTGAGAATCAGAGGCTATGGTCAGCTCTTTGAGATGCTAAGCCAAGCCAGAAAGTGGTCCTTGCATGCAATGTCAGGTGTAGAGGCAGAGACAGGTGTAGTGGCTGAGTCTGCAATGGTTTGTGAAGGTCTACAGAAGTCTAGCCTCCTGGAGGTCTGGAATCCACTTCATGCCATGGAGGTACTTGATGATTCTCTCTTCAGAGGCTGTTTGCCAAATTCTATTTCAGTTCACTAAAGTGGCCTAAATGTAATGATAATCCACTAGCTATGAAAATATCTAGTGCTCAGATTGTGGTTCTTAAATACTATTCTTTTTTAAACAGTAAAACTCAGTAAAGAAATGCCTGACTACAGATATGGGGCAAGGAATATAAAAGATGTACCTGTGATATCTTTTCATATCTGAAAGACAACTAGAGTAATGTTAAAGGGATTCAGACATTTTTGACCTAAAAATGATGAGAAAAATTGAAAAGTAAAACATGATGACTTGATATATACATGTATTATGAATTGATTAGCACAATAAGGTGGTTAGTTAATCTATCACCTCACATAATTGCCCCTTTTTGTCGTGAGAACACTTAACAGCTGCTTTCTTGGCAACTCTTTAAGCATACCATTCAATATTGTCGCCATGCTGTATGTTAACTTACTTCATCTTAGATCTAGAAGTTGAATATCCCTTGAATAGCATCACCTCATTTCCCCAACTCCTAAGCCCCAGGCAACCATAATTCTATTCACCCTTCCTATGTATTCAGATTTTTAAGATTATAGATATAAAACAATACAATTCAGTTTTTGTCTTTGACTTATCACACTAAACAGAATGCTTTCAAAGCTATCCATGTGCTGAAAATAACAGGAATTACTTCTTATTTAACAATAGCATTTCATGCAAATATGTTCTTTTTCCTTTATCCTTTCATTCATCCATGGACACTTGTTTGTTTCTTTGTTTTGGCTATTGTGAGTAACGCTGCAATGATTATGGGAATCTGAATCTCTCTTTAAATTGTTGAGGAAATGCCATAGTTTTTTGTGGTTTTTTTCATAATGCTATACCAATAAACACTTCCATGGGCAGTGCCCAAGTTTTCCCTTTTTCCACATTGTTACCAAGGCTTGTTATCTCTTGTCTTTTCAAGAATAGCAACCCAAACAGAAGTGACTCGTTATGGTCTTCATTTGCATTTCTCTGATGTTTAGTAATAAGCACCATTTCATTTAGTTGTTGCCATTTCATATATTTGAAAAATATTCAGGATATTTGTCAATTTTTGATTGAATCATTTATATTTCTATTAAGTTGTATGAGTTTCCAGTATTGCGTGTTAACCTCTTATCAGATATATAGTTTACAACTATTTTCTCCAGTTCTCTAGGTTGTGCATTTGTAACAGGGTGGTCCCTAGGAAAAGGGGAAGTTCCAGGTTCCCTACCCCACCCAGAAGGAGGGTGGAGCTGAGCAGAGAAAAAGGAGAAGGAGAGAAGAAGAGAAGGAAGCAGAATGGAGAGCCAGAAGGAGACCTGAGGAAGCCACATGGAGCAGCAAGCATGTGATGAAGAAACCGTGCTTGTTTCCTGACACTGGACTGGTTAAGGCAGATGTGGGTGAGATACCTGTAGGGAGGTGACTATGGCAGTATTTATATTGATTTTGATGTTGCTCTTTTCCTCCCAGATTTGTCTGGTCATCTCTTTTCCATGGGTCCTGGCCAGAAGGTGCTTCAGTCTTGTGGCAGGCTTTCAGGCCTTGCTCTGGGCCAAACCCTTTTGGGTTGACTTTTGCCCATGAGGGAATGGGTAGCTTTGGATGTTTGATTTAGAAGTTATATTCTTTGTGTTCCATATTGTATATTTACTGTATTAAAGTCCCTTTTCAGTAAAGTTTTGTATGTTTTGTCTTGTTGCAGCAGATGGCAGAACCCACTTAGAGAAGGCAGGTTTGGGGATTCAGGGATGTCCCTCTCCCCCTGTCCTGTAACAGATTTGGGGAGCCCTGTAACAGATTCATTAATTGATTGTTTTTTGGTTGTGCATAGTTTTACTACAGGGAAAAAAAGTTTTTTTTCTTTTTTGATATATTAATCAACTCTAGAGAAAGCTTCAAAATATTTTATTTTTAAAGACTTATTTTTCATACTTGCTCTTTTTTCACAGCATAGGATTTCTTCCCTCAGATGTAGTCACTATAATTTCCACACCATCAATGCACCCACAGTTCTCCATCAGAATCTGTTGTGGTGTCCTCACTCCCTCCCCCTAACATTCTCCCTTCCCTTTATACACTGTATGTTTCAGATCTAGGATCAAATTTAAAGGGTTTGTTTTAAATTTTGTCATTTCTGAACCTTTGCTTGATTTCTCTACAGTCAACCTGTAAATGAGTCCGTCTGCTATTTATCTTTCTCCTTTTGGCTAAATTCACTTAGTATGAACCCTTCCAGTTCCTTTAATGTTACCGCAAATGGCATGACTTTTCCTTTTTGATCACTGAATAGTTTTGTGTGTGTAGATAGAGATTTCCTTTCAAATCAGTATTTTCTTATTGTTTGGGTAGATACCCTGGAGTGGAATTGCAGGGTCTTATGGCAAATATATTTTTAGTCTTTTGAGGAACCTCCACATTTCTTTCTATAGGGGCTGGGCTAGATTACGTTCCCAACTGACACAAGATAAGAAACCTCTATTATCAGACATATTCCAGATGGAGGGGAAATCCCTGAAAAATC